AAAGATCTGATTTCCCAGGGGTGACCAAACATCGACCGAATGTTTGATAATGGACTGCTGACCCTTGGCATGCCTGAAGTTTCCGGGTGCTGTGGATCGAGTCTTGCCTTCCATTGGCGCCGAGCCCATAATCTGCTGCTGAAGTTCAGCTGGGGATCTCCTTCAGCGCTAGCCACTGCCAATGATAAGCTGCGCCCCAATCGTTATTTTGAAAGGCTGATGCCTACCGACAGATTATTTCTTTGACTTGCGCGCAGCTTCAGCCCTATCCGAAAGTTTCTTGACCTAGGTCCTAGATGCAGAAAAATTTTCCCTTTGTGTCCTAGGTCTTTCGTTTCATCTACATCGATTGAGAACAGCCTATCCTTCATTCCGATCGAATTCTCATGCACGAGTGAACACTACAAGATGGTTGCCGAATATCTCACCATCCGCAACGTCACATCAACACCAATCCGGCTCAAGCGCATCGAGCGGTTCCGCGCGCCGGAGCGGTCGTTCGAAGGGGTGCAAACCTTCGCTAGGAACTTCACCCGCGTGCTCACCAACGTGACTCGCGCCACCACACCCGTCGCCGCCATCCACGACGACACCACGCCATTCACCCACAATGAAGCCGACTTCGAGATCGCGCCCTTCCAGACCGTCCACACCGAGATCCGCGCGTTCCTGGACTCGAAAAAGGAACGCCTGCGCTGGATCTTCGAGGTTGAGGGCGAGGAGCACCAGCTCCAGACCCCGGTGCCGACCACCGAGTCCGCCACCATGAAGGCGATGAGCGACGACCCCAAGTTCCGGCTCACGGGCGTCTTCATCACCCCGGAGTCGCACCTGACCATCTTCTCGTCCGCCCACCTCGAAGCCTGGATGCGGGAGCTCGACGGCGACGTGCTGCTCTCCTCGCTCTCCATCCCGGGCACGCACAACTCGCCGACCTGCCATGTCGCGGCGCCCTCGGTGCGCTGCCAAGCGGTCAGTCCGCGCGAGCAGCTGCGCAACGGGGTGCGGTTCTTCGACATCCGCGTCCAACCGCAGTACCCGGACGACGCGGAGCGCGACGAGCTGATCCTCGTGCACAGCGTGTTCCCCATTTCCCTTACTGGTAGCAAGTACTTCCGGGACCTGATGTGTGAGGTCGAGGAGTTCCTGTCGGAAAACCCGTCGGAGGCGGTGATTATCTCGCTGAAGCGCGAGGGACCGGGCACCCACACCGACGAACAGCTCAGCCGTATCCTCAGCGACCACTACACCTCCGCAGAAGGCAGCCGGTGGTACACGGAGCCCAAGATCCCGACCCTGGGCGAGGTCCGCGGCAAGGTCGTGCTGCTGCGCCGCTTCAACATCCAGGACAGCCTCAAGGAGCTCCACGACGGCCACGGCTGGGGCATCGACGCCAGCGGCTGGGCCGACAACTGCGCCGACGCCACCTGCCCCAGCGGCCAGCTGTGCATCCAGGACTTCTACGAGGTCCTCCTCACCCAGAACATCGACCAGAAGATCCAGTACGTCCGCGACCAGTGCCAGCGCGCCGGCGGCACGGTGTATCCGTTCGGCGTGCTGCCGGATTCGTCCGCCACCCGCGACCATCCCTTCTATATCAATTTCCTCAGCGCCAGTAATTTCTGGAAGGTCGGCACGTGGCCGGAGAAGATTGCGGCCAAGGTGAATCCGGCTACGGTCGATTATTTGTGCAGACGGCATGGCAGCGGGGAGGATGGGGATTGGTCCACGGGCATCCTGGTCACTGACTGGGTGGGCTTGGATGGGGATTGGGATCTGGTGCGGTGTATTGTAGGGATGAATGCCCGGGTGAGGGAGAGGCGGCTGGCGCAGGTGGACGATTGGTAGGATGGGCGGGGACCTCCCTGAAGTAGCATGATTATTACACCCATTTGATAGTGGACGTTTACATAGATACCATTTACTCCTATTCAGAAAGCTTCAAGCAGGCAAGGCCAACGTTCATGCAGTAAAACGAAGTCAAAAAAAAAGGTCATTGTATCCTAGAGCAGTAGACTCCGATCTCTAATCGATCTCATATGCTAAAATGGGTTGAGAACAAACACAAACAAGAAAAGGTCACACATGGGTGTTATTATACACAGAAAAAAGAAAGTGAAATCCCCCACCGAAAAAACCACATTGTATTCACCGCCGCGTTCAGGCGGACTCATCCTTCTTCTCCTCGGGACCCTTCTGCTCCTCCTCCAGGACGCTCCGACGGCTCTCCAGCGTGAAGTACAAGCTCTTACCCGCGCCCTCGAGGGTGTTGGTGATGCTGGAGCCGATGCTCTGGAGCGCCGTGACCAGCTGTGACCGCAAACCGTCCATACCGCCCTCGATGCTGCTGACCCACTTGGACTGCTCGACGTCCATGACCTGGCCGTCCATGCGGGCGGCGATCAGCGACAGCTTGCTCAGGCCATTCTGCACGGGGATCTCGTGCCAGCCCGGGTTGGCCTTGCGGGTCGGGGCGGGCAGGCCGACGACCTTGGGGGCCAGGACGGTGAGGGCGGCCTTCAGGTGCTCCGGCGAGACCTGGGGGATGGTGAGGACGGCGGTGGGGCCGACCAGGAGCGGCGCCATCTCGTGCTGGCCCTTGTGGTCGAGGACGGCGTCGTGGGCGGCGCGCGACAGGTCGTGCGTGAACAGGCTCGGGTCCAGCGGGATCTCGGCGGAGGTCTGCGTGACGGGGTCGACAGCGTCCGGCGTGGCCGCCGCCGCCGTGGTGCTGGGCCGGAAGTACTCGACGATGCGCAGCGCCACCTCGAAGATCCGGGTCTGCACAATCTGCACCTTGATGTGCGGCGCCAGCGCGGGCGCGGCGCGGCCCTCCGACGCGATCTTCTCGTCCACCTTGCGCATGGCGTGGCTCAGCTCCCGCCGGATCGCCGTCCACTCCACCGACTGCAGGTTGTCGTGCTGCAGGAACACCATCAGCGGCGCCGTGCGGATCATCGAGGTATACTGGCGCAGGAGCTGCGAGCGGCGGTACTCCGGCCGGCGGTATGACGGGGGCTGCGAGGAGGGATAGTGGACGATCGGAACGTGCGAGCGGGTCATCTGCTCGTGGGAAGCAGCCGGGGTCGTCGCCGTGCTGGCGTATCGGGCTGCAATGGCCATCTCATACTGGCAGAGTCTTTGGCGTCGGACTGGCTGGGCGAGCCGGCCGCTGGAGACACGCATCCGGGGAGGCATTGTGATGGTGGGAGGGAGTTGACGGAGGGCGTGAAGAAAAAAAAAGCAGTGACGGACACGGTAGGGAAAGTAGGTCCAAGAGACAAATAAGTATCTCCAAGTCCGGTGGAATTGACAACGCCGGCGACAATCACAATGTCTGAGGCAGGAGCGCGGACTGGCGAAAATATGGCACGAAATCTTGTTGTCCCGATGCGGTTAGACGGGACCTGAGGGCGGTGAGATTCTGCAAGTTTGCTTGCGCAGCGCCGGAGGGGCCCGAATGACTCTTTCTGCTTCGGTCTCTTTCATTGTCTCCTCGCATCTCAATTTATTTTCCATTTTCGACCTTTGGAGAAAGCTATAATACCTGGCTAGTGATTTTGGTTTCTTCGTCAGGAACAATGGCTGCTCCGCATCAGGAAACCAAGCAGGGACAGGTCTCTATCTCACCCCTCCTCAAGAGACTCGCCTACCCCGCTACAGAGGTTCAGGTCTCCGCGACCGAGATTGCTGCTGCTTTTGCGCTGATCTTCGAAGATGGGCTCTCGCAGATTCAAACCGCCGCGCTTCTGACGCTCTTGCACTCCACCGGACTCGATCGTGATGCAGAGGTGATCGCCAAATGCTCCCACCGCATGAGAGAAGCTGCCGTCCAGGTGGACAAGGCAGCTCTCAAGGCGGCTATGAAGTCCCGCGGTAAGAAGGAGGGACAGTACAGAGGTGGTCTGGTATGTCATGCCTAGTGATCCGATCGCTTCTCACAGTAGACTTATCTGACGGTCCCCCCCCCCCCCCCTTCTCGAGCTATAGTGTGACATCGTCGGAACCGGTGGTGACTCTCATTCCACCTTCAACATCTCGACCACCTCCTCCATCATTGCCTCTCCCCTTCTCCTCACAGCAAAGCATGGCAACCGTGCACAGACGTCTTTCTCCGGGTCCGCCGATGTCCTGCAGGCCGTGGCACCAATTCCTCCGAAGATCGATGCCGTCACCGCCGAAAACCTGAGCAAAGTGTACGCCGCGACCAATTACTCCTTCTTGTTTGCGCCCAACTTCCACCACGGCATGCGGTACGCCGACACTGTGCGACGTGGCCTGGGTCTTCGGACGATTTTCAACCTCATGGGACCCCTGGCCAACCCTGTTGATTGGGCCATCGAAGCCCGCGTCGTCGGCGTGGCCTACCAGAGCCTGGGACCGGTCTTCGTGGAGGCGCTCCGCCAGAACGGATGCAAGAAGGCGTTGGTTGTCTGCGGCGCGGAGGACCTGGATGAGATCAGCTGCGCTGGCACAACCAACTGCTGGCGACTGTCGGAGTACCCCAACGCCGCGTACAAGCAGCCGGAGAACGAGGATGACGAGTGCTCTTGCGACGAGGACCAGAACCCCCGCACTCTGGTCAAGATGGAAATGTTCCAGCTGCACCCGTCCGATTTTGGCCTGAAGGCCTACCCTCTGACGGAGGTGTTTGGGAAGAAGATGCCCAAGGACAATGCCGAAAAGCTGATGAGCATTCTGCGCAACGAGCTGCCCCGTGACGACCCAATCCTGAGCTTTGTGCTTCAGAACGTGGCCGCCCTTTTGGTAACGTCGGGTATCTGTGAGGCAGAGACCAGCAACATGGGTCCTGGGGACGATGGCCAGGTGATCACCGAGCGGGGACCTGGCGGCGGGCGCTGGAAGGAAGGTGTCCGCCGGGCGCGCTGGTGCATTGAGAGTGGCGCCGCTCTCCGAAGCTTCGAGCACTTTATCGAAGTGACTAACCAGCTGTGATGACTTTGGAATATGTATGTGCGTTATATAGTTCGGTTCTTCTACGGACAAGCATTGGGAGATTGGATTATTCTGGCCGGATAGACCGGTCTGATTTGAAGAACTTGTGAGTAGCATAGGATAGTGCAAGCATAGCATATGACCAGAGGCTAGGTTGTTGAGGTATAATCGGCCAGTTGCCAGGACAGCCTCGCTAGAAATAGTTTCCTATGCGACTTACCCATAGCCACGGTGACAGCCATAGCACGCGGACCCGACCTGTCCAGGCTCAATCTTTGAGCCAGTCTGACGACAAAGAACCTTACCCCGTCTACCCAGCACATCCGCACCACCACCACCACGACGCAAAGAGTATATGAAAAAAAAAGGGTGGTATGAACTCCCAAACACCACAGGTGAAAATGCACATCAATCGTAATCCAAGCAGCAACCCCATCTTCCCCTTCCTCCTTTCATCTCCCTTTTCAGTTTCCCATGAATCTGCTTCCCTTCCTCATCTCACCCAGCCCCCAAAGTAACATAACTGTAACTCAATAATCGGCAATCACCGCGCCTCAAACTGCACCATTCTAGGTTTCCGCAAAGAAAAATCGTCAGCAAACCCATCCTTCACCCTCAACCCCTCCTTCAAACCCAAAGGGAAAAAAAGCACAAACCTCTTCGTCCGCTCCTTATACAGCACACGGTGTCCGCACTCCTTGCACCGGATCTGATCGCCGCGCTTCAACGACACCCGCGAGTTGCACTCGCCGCACAGGTAGGCGACCATGGGGCCGTCGAGGGAGGAGCCCGCCGCGCCGCCCGCACCGCCGTCGGCGCCGCCGAAGGCGCTCTGGGAGCCGCCTAGGTTCGAGGGGACTTGGTAGGCTTCACGGGACATTCTTTCTCGGTTGTTGAGAGATGAGATGGGGTTCTTGTCTGGTGTGGCTAGAGGCTTGGGAGGTCTGCGATGCGATGGTTGGGTGAGCTGGTAGGTGGAATATTATCGCGGGAACTTTTTTGCGGCGCAGATAGAAGGATCTGGAGCGGTTAGTCAGCTGATTGTTGGTTCTGGTGGTGGTGGCCGTAGCTTACGGCTAGCTTGTTTGGGGTAGGCGGTGGGTTGACCCCGGGTCTATAGAGCACTGAATCTAGATATGCGCATTACCATCATCAAATTATGATTCGATGGGCCTTCATGGCTTGTCGATAGACGGGATTTCCTTTTACTCCTTGGCTGAAGGTAAGACCATTGTAAGGGGCTGAAATATTTATCTATATCCGTAGCTATGCAGTCATATGCAATCAGATGGAATCATATATGCGAACATCACAGGGTATATGTATATGTCGTCATCAAATGTCAGAAATCACCAACCACCACCGATCTTCCCAGCCAACTCGACCACGCGAGCGGCATCCGGTGGTCCCTGGGGCTTGCCCACGTCGCTCTCAACCTCCCGATATGTAGTATAAGCCAGCTTTGAAAGAGGCATGTCCATGAAAGTGGCCCAGTGGTTCAGGGCGGTATGCACCCTGGCCTCTTGTTCCGCAAGAGACAAGGGCTGTGATTGAGGGGCGACCTCACTCTCCGAGTCCGACTCGGCAGAATAGTAAGCCTCGTCCACACGAGCGAGCCATGCGCGCTGTTCATGCGGTGAGGGCTTCGGCGTCTCCCCTGAAGTCTCGGTCTGTGCGCTTGTTGCGTCCCGGGCGTCTTCAATGCGGATCTGTCCTCCGCCATTCGTGCAGCCCCCAGGGCATGCCATGACCTCCACGTATGCATAGTCTGAGCCCGATCCACCTGATGCAGCATTCCGTCCCATCGGCTGCCGTTTGCTGCCGCCCATCGGCCCATTTGCTGTCCGCGCACCCGGGAGTCTCGAGACTCGCGATGGCTTGAGTTTACGGACAAGGTTCTGGATGTTTCTGAAACCGTAGTAGCGGGCAGCCTTCATAATGGGCTGATGTTCGGGCGACATCAGAAAGTACTCCACAACGTCCGAATTCCGTCCTCGTTGAATCTCAATCTCGCTACCTGGATTTCGTGATTGAAAGCATTTGAGGACGTGGTAGAGGTAGCCTCCGGAGGTACCTGTCGTAGCATTCTGGACCGATTTACTCTTAGAGAAGAGAAAGTCGTGCAATACTGGGTCGGGGAATTGTGGCTGTGGCACAGGCTTCAAAGGCAAACTGGGCAGCGAAATGCCTCTGGAAGATGCCAGTGAAAGAAGCTCGCGCGTGGTGATGACGCAGTCAACGTCGCGAACTGGCGTGGTAGACTCAGCAGAGGACGGAGACCATGCTGCATCTGTGAGTTCTTCTCTGCTAGCCTCCAGCTTCTTGTCAAAGCACGGCATTATGGCCAAATGCCAGATGCGAGAGGTGGAAATTCCCAGGGACTTGCTAAGCACCGTTTTCAGGAACGTTCCGGTGAGTGCCTGGGGAGACTTGAGACGCGACAGGTGAGGAAGGATGAAAGGATGCGTCTTTTCGGCGTAGCAGATCCATCCTGGACATGCGGAGGACAGGATAGGGCGTTTCGGTGACGACAATCCAGGGGTGTCTGAGGTTGCAGCCAATGAGTCGCTGACTTCGTCCGCGGTGAGAGATAGAACGGCCTCTCTCATTACATTGGTGTCGACTATCCATGTGAAACCGCTGTTCTTCGCTCCTCCAGCCCGTAAACCCTGCGGGCCACTCAAGAATTGGTGAATCATGTTATCTGCATCCTTCTCTGCTATGCCGTAGGTCGCCGCCAGGCTCGCCCTCACTTGTGGACTGACACTCGCAACAAATATCCGACTCTCGCCATCATGAGCGTCATCGCCACTTAGCAATAGTTCGGGATGTGTATCGAGGGTGTTGAGGACCTCGGCGTGTGACTGCAATGAGATAAGCACTGCCTCGGCAGATGTGACACATCCAGAGCAGGCGAGACAGTCTGTCAAAGAGATCTGAGCCGGAGGGAGGTTTTCAGGTTGAACCTTGTCTTCTTTGGTCACTTCATAAGGATTCTATACAATTAGAGATTAGAGGTCTATTATTGGACAAAGTGGGGTGGAAGAGGGGAGGAGGAAAGGCATCGCTCGCGCACGTACATCTGAGTTTGACTCCTCCTTCTTTGGAAGGGTTTCGACTGGCTTAATACATGCGACACCAGGGGAAATAAAATCGTTGAGGTCGTCTGCAGAGAGAATTGCACTCATCGTGGCAGACGCCGGAGGCCGACGCAGTAGACTGGGATTGATAGAGGGTTCCGCGGCTCGTAGAGGTTCGAGTGAGCGCTTTGTAGATTGAGTGTGAAGTCACAGAAAGGCACGCAGTAAGCCTGGTGTAAGCAGCAAATGAAAGAGGGAATGTTTAGAGTATTTGCAGAGAGAAAGAACTCGAATTGAAGGTAATTGTGATAGAATCAATGCTTTGTCATCGTGGCGACGGAACCGCATTTGTACGGCGGATGAGATTGAGGTGGCTGCCCCGCGATCGGCGAAGATAAGCTCACCGCTTGCTGCTTCAGTCTAATCTTATCGCGTCCCTGATCATTCTGCCGGCCCACCGGACACGAGGCACCAACCGGTTGAACGCGCCTTCCTTGCTGCCTAGGAGCACGATTGTATAATACATGAAATGCATTTGAACAGAGGGGCTGCCAATATATCTGTCTGGTCTCATTGAACCTTTACGAGACCTCATGACCAATCCTCGAATGACGTCAAACCGGATTACTGATTATTTCCGGCCGGTGAGCGGAAGGCGGAAGCGGCCGCGTGCAGAAGCACAACATCCGGGGCGAGGCCAAAGAGAGAAGTTAAGATTGGTCGCAAAAGAAACAAATGCATTGCTCCCAAGGATTTTATCTACACGTCCCGAAGCACCTCCTATCGGGAAAATATGTCACGGCTCCAGATACGAAGCTCTTGACCCTAGGTTCAGCCCGAGGCTGACAACCCAGGTGGAAATACTGCTCGGCGATACTTTCGATATTGCTACTGCACTGGGTCCTTCTTTGTACCCCAACAACCAAAACAACGCAGAGCACGTTTGTATTCTCAATATGGCCAACGCGAACAGGCCTGGTGGAGGTTGGCTAAATGGAGCCCTTGCCCAAGAAGAGGCACTCTGCTATCGGAGCAGCTTAAGCTCAACACTCAAACATCGGTACTACCCCCTGCGGTTCCTCGGCGCTATTTATTCACCATCTGTCCTCGTCTTCCGAGAGAGCATTGATAAAGGCCATGAGCTGATGGACTTGGAAAAGCCTGACCTTTTCCCGGTGGTGAGCGTGATTAGCGTGGCTGCTATTCAGGACCCAGAACTAGACCACCAACACGACCCGCCGAGGTACAAGAGCCCGCGCGATCGCGAGGGAATGAAGTTGAAAATGAGATTGATTCTTCGAATCGCCGCGTACAAAAAACACCGCAGGCTTGTGCTAGGGGCTCTGGGTTGTGGAGCCTTTGGAAACCCGAACGCCGAGGTTGCTGATTGCTGGGCCGAAGTTTTGCGGGAGAAAGAGTTCCAAGGCTGGTGGGAGAAGATCGTATTCGCAATCCTAGACGATGCAAAGACAATTGCGCAGGGGAACGGGAATTTCGATGTTTTCAGAGACAAGCTTCATGGACTGACGATATAAGCGTTCGCGCAGCAAGAAATCGAGACCACAGGTATAACATGTCCAGGTTGAATTTCATCTCGAAATCGTCGCACTATAGTTATATTTGACAAGGTGGCGACGATAAACAGGAAAGCCCCCCACATGGAATCACTTCCTCACCCTTGTTGAGCGCCGTCTGGTTGTGGTTGTTGATTCCGACGGCTTGGTTTCCTCCTCATCTTCGGTTTTGATGGCTCTTTTGTTCTCTCTCTTGGAGCTAGCTTTTCTTGGCTTGGATTCGTCTTCGCTCACTGCTGTCTCATCCTCTTCCTTCACGACTGGGTCTCTCTTTCGCTTCGAGTTGCTGCCACTATCGCTGTCAGCTTCCTTTGCCACTGGACCAGTCTTCTTCTGTACGCTGGGAACCACAGCACTTGTTCTACCCCCAACGGTGAGGAAAGTGATCTTCTCTCCGTTGGGCAGGACTGATGGGACATTCTTCTTGCCCTTATTCCATCGATGCTTAAACAACCAATGCTCCGGAAACCTCTCGGAGTCGGCTAGCACTTCCACTGAGGTCGAGCAGACATAGTGCATAACGGTGTGGAGCTCCTTGATCTGGTCATCATTCAGGGTGTTGCTATACTGCTCTGGGTGTATCTTTGCGTGATACAAGATTTCATCACTAGAGCTAGTTTAGTCACGAATGTTTTAGGGGCTAAAAAGGACAATGGACATACCCCATCCAGTTCCCAATTCCGCTAATGTTCGCCTGATCGAGCAGAAGGGCCTTGACGGGAACCTTCTTGCTCCTTAGTTTCTTTGCAAGCCACTCCTCCGTGACAGTATCCTTATCAGCAACCGGATCCGGACCGTTCTCTTTCAATGGGCTATGCTTGCGAATTTCTTCGGCGGGACAATCGACGAGCCGTATGCGAGCTAGTCGACGAGGATCCACAAAGGCCGCCTCTGCCTTAGGATCACCGTCGGTTTCCAACAAGAACTTCCAGTACTTGGGCGGCCACTCTTTGTCTTCTGGTTTATCGGTACGATAGTAGTATGTGTCGGCATCACGGATCTTGAGCCAGCCAGCCATGCCAAAATGCATTACCGCATGGGGCGGCGTCGACATGGTGATCCAGAAATACTTGCCCTGCTGTCCGGCGCCAACGACCTTCTTTCCTTCCATTGCCTTCTGAAATTCAGCGGCAGTGGTTCCAACTTTTCCGTAGACGATGTCATCATGTTGGGCAGACACTTTCGTCAGAGTCTTGCCGACTAGATGGTGGCGTATGAAGTGGACGATGCGCGAAACCTCCGCTAGCTCGGGCATTGCGGAAGATGGGGTGTATGTCAACGAATGGGGCGTGTACAAGATTTCGAATCCTCGTGACTAACACAGGTCAAGCTTCAGAGGAGATTTTCCGGACTGGAAGTGAATTGCATTAGTTCGACTTGGAAGGAATCCCTCGTCAGGCGAAAGTATCGCCGCAACACGCGTCAAGGAATCACGTAGTCCCGTGATTTGAGATTGCTAACCGGTTCCGGCAGTAAGCTGCTTCTGCAGTGCTGATGGTCTGGTCGGCATGCGGGCCGGCCCTCATACGCATTATTTCCACTTCATCGCTTCAAGTCCTAGCTAATCCTCACGCATATCTGCTCCTAATACACTTTGGACTACTTCTAAACTATTGCCAAAGGAAGTTTGCAATCTCCTCAAGTACTTCCTCGGCCTCCGACAAAAATTCAGCGATACTCTCTTCTCGCTGATCGACTTGCCGCCAACAGACGGGATTGCCACCCACAGCCGGCTTGAACCGCATTCTCAACATACAAAGTGGATTTATTCTGGGCCGAGAAACGTGCGTTGGACGGGGAGGCAGGGAAAGCAGAGCGTCAGAAAATGTTTCACCAAACTTCAACCGCGGCCCCTGCGTTAAGCCCCAAGTTTTGTTTCAATGAAAGGGCACTCCGAGGTATGTAGACTCCCGTCGCCACCAAAGCGTGCAATGACACAAACAGGCGCTGACGAAGGTCTGCACTGGTAATCAGAATTCCTGCGCCTCTCACGATCGACGATAGATGATTCGATCACACAGAATCTTAATGCATTGTATACTCCGGCGCGGGATGGTTTCGACCCCTCCTCAACGGCCGCCCGCCAGATAGACCCCACGGCGGAGCGAACAATCGACCCGGCAGCCTGCGAAGGCTTCAAGAATAAAGTGCTGTTCCCGTCATGGCAGGCGCGGTCAGACGTGCTCAGTTATTGCGCTGGTGTGGCAACGAGCCCCGACCCGGAAGATCCGGACCTTCTCCTGCGGGAAGTCGAGTCGGCTAAGGACCGCGAGCGCGTGGTCGACGAAAGACTCGATCCTTACTCTGCGCGGTTCTTCCCTCGCGAACCACGCACGGAATCCCTGGCATACCTCGTTCGGTATCAAAGAAGCGTTGAAGATATCATTCGTGCGCGGACCTGGGGTCTTGTGACGGAGCGATGCGAAAGCTCATCAGAGAGCTGGGAGGAAGCGCTGAATAAGTGGCGCGAAAGCAAACAACGACCAGTGAGGGACTTGTAAGATTGTCCTTGGTTCCAGTCGATGGAGTCTCGCTTGGGAGTCTTCTACTTTGGAGGGTCGGGTCGATTCCGGCCAGCACAAGCGATCATTTGACCATTTTCATTAAGTTATGTATGTAAATGACCATGTAACAATAGCATTCAACGGCGTTCTTCACTCTTTCAGTTTCTTTCCATTGAGTAAACCTAGCATAGTGAATAGACAGGCTGTCTGCGCAGTGTTGCATATGCATGCAAGCGCCGCTTCGGATCATCATCTTGACTAATACGGAGCAGCCTTGAGCGGAAGACGGCGGTCGGGAAAGAACTTTATGAATAATTATAGCTTATTTGTAGCGATTTCAATAGAAATTGCTCGACTCAAAAACCTCCGGATTGTTTATTGTTGTTTGCTGCTCTTCTTGCGATATTTCCTGTCAAAAGTTCTTGTTGTAGAATCGGTCAGAGCTTATCGCTGCCTAAGCAATCATCAATCGTCATTCCTCCCTCTACTACGGAGTAGTATCGAGTCCGTCCCTCTTTCCCTCTCTCTCCCCCTCCCCGCGCACGACCACCGCCCAGCTTCCGTCTTCCGCACACAGTCATCTGGCAAGTCCGCAAGTCTGCAAGTCTTTGCACTGCACCTTCCACCTGTCACCCACACGCACCATGCCACAACCATTGAGCTCCAAGGATGCGGCCTTGTTCCGCCAAGTGGTCCGTCATTATGAAAACAAGCAACATAAGAAAGGTGCGTTCTGCAAAACCCCCCTCCACAATGAACACGCTTGTCACTTTCGCAAGTGGGTAGCAGGTGCAAAACAGCTAACGCCAATGCTCGCATCGCACAACAGGCATCAAAACCGCCGAACAAATTCTAAAGAAGAACCCCAACCATGGCGATACCTTGGCGATGAAGGCTCTGATCATGAGCAACATCGGCCAGTTGGAGGAGGCTTTCGTGCTGGCCAAGGAGGCCCTCAAGAACGACATGAGGTCGCATATCTGCTGGCACGTCTACGGGTTGCTGTACCGTGCGGAGAAGAACTACGAGGAGGCGATCAAGGCATACCGCTTTGCCCTGAGGATCGAGCCCGAGTCGCAGCCCATCCAGCGGGATCTTGCGCTCCTCCAGATACAGATGCGGGATTACCAGGGCTACATACAGAGCCGGACGACCATGCTGCAGGCCCGCCCCAACTTCCGACAGAACTGGACCGCCCTGGCGATCGCACACCACCTTTCCGGCGATCTTGAGGAGGCCGAGAAGGTGCTCACGACGTACGAGGAGACGCTGAAGACCCCGCCGCCCACCTCTGACATGGAGCACTCCGAGGCCGTCCTGTACAAGAACACAATCATGGCCGAGGCCGGCAAGCTGGAGCAGGCATTGGAGCATTTGGAGAAGTTCGGTCGCAGATGTGCCGATGTGCAGGCTGTGCTGGAGATGAAGGCGGACTACCTCTTGCGCCTGGACCGCAAGGCCGAGGCCGAGGCCGCTTACACTACTCTTCTCGAGCGGAACCCTGAGAACTCGACCTACTACGATGCTTTGATCCGGGCTAAGGGTCTTTCCAAGGACGACCCCAAGGCTTTGAAGGCCTTGTACGACTCCTGGGTGGAGAAGGCCCCCCGTGGTGACGCTGCTCGCCGGATCCCTCTAGACTTCCTCGAGGGAGACGACTTCAAGCAGGCTGCCGATGCCTATTTGCAGCGCTCGCTCAAGAAGGGCGTTCCCTCGCTCTTTGCCAACATCAAGGCCCTTTATACCAACGTGGCTAAGCGGGATACTGTTCAGGAGCTGGTTGAGGGTTACGTCTCGACTCCTCAATCCAACGGCTCTGCCGAGGGTCAGGCCGACAGCGACAATACCGAATTCCTTTCTTCTTCCCATTACTTCCTCGCCCAGCACTACAACTACCACCTCAGCCGGGACTTGACCAAGGCGATGGAGCATGTCGACAAGGCTATCGAACTTTCGCCCAAGGCCGTGGAATACCAGATGACCAAGGCGCGGATCTGGAAGCACCACGGCAACCTCGAGAAGGCCGCCGAGGAGATGGAGAAGGCCCGTCTGCTGGACGAGAAGGACCGTTACATCAACTCCAAGGCTGCCAAGTATCAACTCCGCAACAACGACAACGAGAAGGGTCTTGACAACATGAGCAAGTTCACCCGGAACGAGACTGTTGGAGGCGCTCTGGGCGATCTGCATGAGATGCAGTGTGTGTGGTACCTAACGGAGGATGGCGAGGCCTACCTGCGCCAGAAGAAGCTCGGCCTCGCCCTCAAGCGCTTCCACGCCGTTTACAACATCTTCGACACCTGGCAAGAAGACCAGTTCGACTTCCACAGCTTCTCGCTGCGGAAGGGCATGATCCGCGCGTACGTGGACATGGTCCGTTGGGAGGACCGCCTGCGCGAGCACCCCTTCTACACCCGTGTGGCTTTCTCGGCCATCAAGTCATACTTGCTCCTGCACGACCAGCCGGATCTGGCCCACGGACCTATGGCTACCAATGGGGTCGGAGAGGATGAAAACGAGCGCAAGAAGGCCCTCAAGAAGGCCAAGAAGGAGCAGCAGCGCCTGGAGAAGCTGGAGGCCGAGAAGCGCGAGGCAAGAAAAGCGGCCAGCACCGGCAAGAGCGCCGACGGAGACGTCAAGAAGGAGGACCCTGATCCGCTTGGCACCAAGCTGGTCGCGACCCAGGACCCGCTCAAGGAGGCGATGAAGTTCTTAACTCCCTTGTTGGAGCTCAGCCCCAAGAGCATTGAGGCTCAGACTCTCGGGTTCGAGGTTTATCTCAGAAGAGGTATGTCCATCGCCTTGCAATTTGCTACCACCACCCCTGCTAATCTCACCCTCGATTAGGTAAATACGCGCTCGCCCTCAAGTGCCTGACTGCCGCCCACTCGATCGACGCCGCCAACCCTACTCTCCACGTTCAAATCCTCCGACTCCGCAAAGCTCTGGACAACCTGTCCGAGCCCCTTCCTGCTGAAGTGGCTGAGGCCGTCAACGCCGAATTCGAGGCTTTGCTCCCTAAATCGACGAACCTGGACGAGTGGAACGAGTCCTTCATTTCCACCCATAAGGACAGTGTCCCTCAAGTCCAGGCCGGTCTCACCAGCCGGCAGCTCCTGGAGCCCGACACCAGGTCGCAATGCGAACAAGAGCTTACCGCCACGCTTGACTCGACCGACATCACCATCGATACCGCGCTCACCGGCCTGGAATTGCTGACCGCGTGGGGCAGCGACCAGGCTGCCAAGACCGCCTACGCTCAGAAGGCCAGCAGCAAATGGCCTGAGTCATCGGTGTTCCGTCTGGAGTAAAGGATGAAATAAAATGAAAAATGGAAAATGCGTTGGATGGGTAGAACACTGTCACACGTTACCCGGCTCAATCAATCAGGGCTTGTTGTGTGTGATCTCTTCAGAACTGGATATTTATTCCTTTTTTTTGTTTCTGGTGATTAGCCCGGGTATAGCTATTGCAGTTGCGTGTTTGAAGTATACCTTGTTTGCATGGTATGGGAACGCGTAGAAGAAGAGAGGGGGGAGACAATTTTAGCTAGACGTTATAAAAGAGCTTTCGAAGTTTCAGGGTGTGTATCACTAGGTTAGTTGTTGATGCTGTCAACGTAGCTTACTTGTTCTAGCTACATAAGTTCAAGAATGTCAACTGATATGAAGCGGTTACTCAAGACGGTTTGCGAGGCTCAAGGCAGAGCTCCTCTGATATATTTTAGACACCTGCAAAAGAATATTTAAACAACAAGAAGCCTGCACAATCAAAACACCTCTAGATTGGAATAATATACACCTCTAAGTACAACCAGAAATGAAAAAGAAGATAGAAATACAACCAAGAGCAGCGACGGTTCCTTTTCCCATGCAGAATGACGACAAAAACAAAAATAAATGATATATCATATCAACAAAGACGACAGCCTCTTTCCCACAAGAGGCCTATCATAAGAACTGGATCAATCCCCCACAGAACTCTAGCTATATACTTGTGTCAAAACAGAATCCCCCATCTTGCCCTTCTATAATCTATACCGATCCTTGCGGCAAAGATCTCTTGTACATGCACATAAATTCTACTCCCCATCCTCGTTGTCGAGGTTCCCCAGGATCGGCCGCCGCTGGAGGGTGGCCTCGTCCTCGCCGTAGCCGTACTTCACCCACAGGCGCTGCCACACGGGCACGGGGGCGGGCCGCTCCTCGCCGCGGATATATTCCTCACCGCTGGCGATGCGGGTCGCCCGGCTTTCTTCCTCGGGGGACACGGTGTACCGGTGCATGCGGGAGGCTAGCCGGGGGTCCAACACGATGGGATCGAGCCATTCGCGCTCCTTGTCGGGTTGGGTTTCGTCCGTGCGGTGGACGGATTTGTGCCAGTCGCGTTCGGCGGTGGCGAGGATGGTTTGTTGCTCGGGGATCGGGATGGGGTCGGAGCTTGTGGTGAGTGATTCGGAGGAGTCAGGTGTGGGGTTGGTGGGGGTGGTTTCGGTGTATGGGCGGCTGGAGGAGGCGAGGACCAGGGCCGCGACGTCGCGGCCGATCTCGTCGGCGAGGTGGCGGCGGTTCAGGTAGCGGTAGATGCGGATCGGGGTGTTGAGGAAGCCCAGGAGGTGGGGAAAGGCGATGGGCACGGAGCCGTCGAGGGTGGCGGGGAGGGTCGGCGGGAGGGGTTGCTGGTCGTAGGCACTGGTGGGGAGGTAGGTTGGGGTCGGACCGGTGGGTTTCTTCTTCTTCTCTTCCTCTTTCTTTGGCTCTTCGGAGGGCGTGGTGTCTTCTTGCTTCTCGGGGGTTTCGGGGGCACCGTCTTCGGGAACGGGGGGTGAGGGTTGTTGTTGTTGTTGTTGTTGTTCGTCTTCGGTGGGTGCAGGAGGGGGGTCCAGAGGGCCGAGCCAGCCCTCGTGCAGACCCCGGATATACTCCTTCCAGGTGTGTCGGCCGATCACCAGATCGCCCTTGGGGCCCGGTTCGTCTGTGATGCCGAGGTGCGTCCGCGTGTCGTAGACGACGCCCTCGACGCTGGGCTCCTCGACGACGG